CAAGTCCGTATCACTGTGCACTTTTGATACCTGTTCCATCATATTTTGTCGAATGAAACGGTTGCTTCTGAACACGTTGGCGTTAAACTTCGTGTGAGCAGATTCTCCGAGCTCTTCAGCTTAACCGGTACATAACTGTAAAAATTCTTGTATTGGCCACTCCATGTTCTTGTACGGTACATACGGCGTTGTACAGATTCATCACGTCTTCTAATAAGGTGTACATCCACAGAAACAGTATTCGATCACTGCTTCTATCTCCTTCGTTAATTTTATGGCCTTGTGTGAGCAGTTGAACTTTTCTAGTAGTAGACTCAGTTCATAGTGTTAACCGGCAATGCAAAATATGTCACTTACCGACCAAAAGCATACCAAGGTACTGCGTGAATTGACCCGTGATAAAGATCAAGCAGCCGGGACTGTGGTCATGGACAAGAAGGCATATACTGACAAACTGCTAGCCGTCGGCTCGGAAGAGGACAAGTTCACAACCAGAAAATGACAAAACACACAAGGCGGAACAGCAAAACAATGACAATACAGTGACGGGCGCTATGTATAGTTTGGTTCTCCAAGGCAAACCGGGCAAATGCGGAATCAAAACATCATCGTTATCATCCAAACACTCACCATGTCCAAACCGGGGAATTCGTAAACGCTTTCACTGTTTGTATCATCTGTGATATCGCCACCATCATCACCGGCAACGTCTACTGAATCGGCTTCTTCACTCCTAAAGACCCCCCCGGGGAGGGGGGGGCGGGTGTAATGTATGAGTCGATTAGCAGGAACACAACAAATAACAGAGATTTGATTATCCATAAACCTATCTCTACATTCCGGCAATCATTACACTCGGCATATCGATATTTTATTCATCTAGTCTATCGATGAGAATTACAAAAAATATTCCGATCGATACATGAGAACTAAACACAAATAAACTTCTCACACACCTTTTACATAGTCTCACTCGTGTGTGTGTGTTTTGTCTCCATTGAAATCTGTCTCGTAATGCCCTGCACTTTCAACGACAGGGATAAATGAATATTGTGTCGTGCAGCACTAATTGACTCAACCCGGACAGCCCAAAAAAGTGGTCGGGGCGTCACACTGATGTCACGAACCCTTGTGTCCGTTTTTGAGCGCGAAAATTCAAATCCACTAACTGTAGTAATCGATATGCACACCGTCTCAGGTGATTCCCAACATGGATGACCTACGTTGCAGTGCGCGTCAGAGACTTTCCAATGGTACGTAATGCATGGCCCTCCTATACAGCTACCATGGACATGTGATTGTCGAATGGAGAAAGCTTTTGCTGTTTGCTTATGTATCATAAGTTTTGGGCAGGTCGGCGGCGACCGGTGAGATCGCACAGATTGGATAATGCGAATAGAATGAATCATGTGTGAAGAACGACTGACGCACGCAATACGCGAGGCGCGGGGGGCTGGTGGCCAAGTGGCTAGGTCACCAAATCGTGATCCGGAAGTTCCGGGTTCGAACCGCTCCACCGCCGCCAGTCTTCCCTAATTCTGTATTTCCCCGGGCAGCCTTTGCATGGCCTCAGCCCCCTTTCTGAATGTTGACTGTACATTTGTATGTTCAATAAATAGCAGAAGGAAGTAGGAAGACATTTATCGAGCGGAAAAAATTGAATTTCGCCTGTTTGTCCTAGAGGTCTCTCATTTCAGTACCGGATTCCGAAACTCTCTTTATCAGATCAGAAGATAGATTAATAAGCTCGGTGATCCATTGCATTTGTATCGTTGGTGAATATTTGTTGTAACTGATCATTATTCTATACCGACTTCACCTTCGCGCATAGTGTTCATCCAGTCCAGCAAACAATCAAGGAGTACCTAATCGACTGGAATATATTGAGTTCATCAGCTGTGCGAATCTGCCGTTACGCTTGTGTGCTGCGAACCCATGCATGACTAACCAGGGACTGACTAAGAATGACCAAGTAGACTTTTATTTTGGTCTCTCGTATTCCATGAAATACAGTAGACATTTGACATGAATCAAAGGTGACAGAAAGCATACCATCGATTGATTCCAATCGATCAAACTTCCCGATGTACTCAATCATGAAGTCTATGTGATCAGGCCTCCGTAGTAAGAAAGTGGATTATATGAGAGCGAAAACCGGGTGACGATCCATGATGAACGCAAACAAGACTGTCTGGGCGACCATTGAAGGGTAAAGTGTTGTTCCAGCTCGGAGAGCATACCACCACCAACGCTTTCATTTTTTATCGGAAAATATTGTTTTCTATTTGGATTCACCATCACTGATTCTCGATCATCACGGTTTTCGATAAACGGCGCGAACTCCAAGAATGAATTCGTATGTGTGTGTGTGTGTGTGTGTGTGTGTGTGTGCGGTGCATACCGGGGTTCACTTTGTGAGGACTATCCGGACTGTACTTACGTTGTCTGTGAGATCATTTGCTGTTTCTGATGCGCGAAGTGATAGCACTGTGCCGATGTGGCCAGATGCCGGTCACCCAGCTGGGGTGTGGTTGCGATTTGGAGTTGCGCCGCTTCCAAATTGGACTGTAACGCGGCTTGCTTGCGAGATTGGCTGGAAAAAGCCATGGACAGACAGTGAGTGAAAGTGAAACACCCACACGGAGCGCGCCCGCCAGAGAGAGAGACAGACAGACAGACAGAAGAAAGGGAATCACATAAATGTGCAATTTAGGGGAACAATGCATCTGGTTTTGTGAAATTCCGAACATCCTAGGTGGGTGATTTATCCATGACGAGAAAGGTACTGAGACGGTACTGACCTGAATAACCTAGTGCGGTTTAGTTTAGAATTGGAGAGTTGCTCGAAACTAAACTCTTACGTATTACAGCCTTCAACAAGAGAAACGGAAACCTGATAAAACTGGAGAATGAAATCTCACTCAATTCTCAGTTTGTGGAATAAGAAAGCAAGGACAAGGTGATTGTTGTACAAAGAAGAGGGTAGGTACTCACTGTCTCTGGTTGTGCTCAACTTTTTTGGGGAGGTGCGGATTAATCTGGAAAGCAAACTGTCTGCCCTCCTATTTCGCCATGTGCTTCGATGAAAACAGTGACCAGTGAAATGTACGGCAGATGCAAACCTAGATGAACTCCCCACTGCTGTTTCACTTGGAAATTCATAAACAGTACCTACATTTTTTGTTTAAATTGTTGTTTGGCAGATATGAAGTCTTTACCACGAGATTGTGCAAAGTTCAGTAGTATGGGTCGGACTCGAACCCACGCATTGACGCCGCCTAGGCGTTTTGTACAGTGTATGCTCTACCACCCGAGCTACGAGGCAACACCGATAGAGCACTGATCTGTTTATATTTGAATTGCTCACCCATGGTATCCCACTAAGGCTACTGAACTTTTCACAATCTCGACATAAAAACTTCAAATCTGCCAGACAACAATTTGAACAACTAACCCTTCCTTAGAAGTTCATTCGGTGAATTGCGGTGAATTCTAAGGAAATCCTACCGTGAAAGTAAGCTTAATTGCTAACTGTACGTTGGATGGGTAATTCGAATGTAAAAAGACCAGTGCTATCGGTGTGGCCTCGTAGCTCAGCTGGTAGAATGTGCGCAATACAAAAGCGTAGGTGCATCCGTGTGGGTTCAAATCCCACCGAGCCTGCTGATTTTTACACAATCTTGACATACACTTTTTACCAACAAGCTTTAACCAAAGCCCGTAACTCTTGAGCCTCAACTCACAGTCCTATGTCAAAACCCGCAATGCTTTAGCCACGATCCGTAGTCCTTTAGGCCTCCACACACAGACTTTAGTTATACTGCTTTAGACGATTCAGATCAGAAAGTATCGGAATAGTCTGGGGTGAACGATCGTTGAAACATCTTATTTTCTCCGACTGTTAATTTTGCAAGGCTCGGTTGAAAAAAAAAGTTCGAGGGTCTAGTGATCGCTTGCTGCACCACATGTTTGAACGATGTGTCCTTATTGTCAAACCATTTGACACACATCTCGTACAGCTTCTATGTTTTCGTATATCATGTGATACCCCCGTAAGTAAAAATCTCAAATGTAACATGAACGGCATTCACAAGCCCTCACACGTGAATCGAAGTGTGATATCACAAAAGTGATATACACAAAAGTTGTTGCTTGCTTTTCTTGACTTGACTTGACTATGTCCACTTGGAATGAACTTCGTTCTTGAGATTTGGATTAACATTAACAGGATAACATACACCATTCACAAAAATACACCCCAGTACAATCATCGATTTATTGACATTGCAACATTTGACATAATTACGACGGTCGAGGCTCAAGAATTATCGGTTTTTTGTCTAAAACTTGTTGCGAAAAAGTGCAGTGGGTATCAAACGTGTAATCTCAATTACAACAAATGTACCCGTTTCATATCGTTTCAGATTGAATCGTCCCTTTCACCGGTAACCTTGAACAAGTAAATTCCCTCAGACCCTCTCTGCCATCTGATTGGATCATTTCTCGCGATTTACGGCACTTGGAATCCCTCGCCCAACACGAGAATACACATTTTGGGATAGAGTTGAGACCAGTAAATCAAGTGTTTCGAGAAGAGAAGATACAAGACGCTGAGATGAAAATTGAATAAAAACAATGATTGGTGATGTGCTAAACCTGCAGCCCTAGTACAAAAGCGTCTTCAACAGTCAAATT